GACATACTCTGGACATAGAACAACAGCCTTTGGGGGTTCCCTGCCACCAGCTCTCAGGGACCAAACTTTTGGCTACCCAAAGCTCCCTCACAGGTGCCATGAGCTACTCCAGTGACTTCCTGGGGAAGGAGGGCCACCCCAGACTGCAGCACCACGCAGACCTGGGCCTGGCCCTGCTCTGTCTAGCTGTGTCTCCCCACTGCTTTGACTTCTTCCTGGGTCAAAGGGCTTCTCTGGAGGTTCCCACCATCCTTTAAATGTGCTGGCACCATAATGCATACAGAACCGGGGGCATGGGAAGGGGTGGGAGAAAGGGGGCTTGCGACCCTTTAACAGGTGTTAAACTGCTTCCTGCTCCTCCGCTACCCAAAGTAGGAGAGCTTTTCATCCCAGCTCTTCACAAAGAAAGCTGATGGTGCTTGCAGAAGTGTCAAAACCCTGCTCACAGGTTTACCACCAGTGACAAATTTTTTTTTTTCATGATCTTTTCAACCCGGGAACTTTCGTTAGTAACATAACGCATAATTTTTTTTTTTTTTTCAAAAGATGTGGTGAGGCCTGCTCCCAAAGGGGGGAAAAAGGAAAAGTCAGAAGCAAGTAATGTCTTTCCTCCTTGTGGGAGAGAAATCCACCCTCTACTTTGGGCTAACTATTCGAGGCTAGCCTGACCCAAAGCACGGCCAAACATTACGCATAACAGGACGGGATTCAGGTTAGGACGCTAGAGGCAAGTTCGCCTTGTCATTTGGAAAGAAGTCCGTCTTGATGTGCATGAGACACACTGCCCCTGCGAGAAAAAAGGTCCGCTAACCCGAGGGCTCGATTTGACCTTTGCCCTCATGGTTCAAGAGGCCAGGGCGGCAAGGTCTGGTGTGAGAGTTGAGTGCTCACTCTTAGCAAGGATTAAAGGGAGTGACTCATTCATCACAGCCCACTCAGTGCCATTTCCCTGGCGGCAGGAGTGTTTTAGAAAATAGTGCCTTGGAGAGAAAAGGGAGGAGAGAGCAGCGAGGGAGGGGAGGGGCACTAGCCTGGGCTCCTGACGCTGCATCCCATATGATGCCTGCCATAGGGCACATCCTGTTTTCCCTCCAGTGATTCCACCATTTTCTAGCACAACAGTTGGTTTAGCTAAACGGTCTAAGGAGTTTCCCTTTTAAATGGTTTTTCTTTCTTTTTTTTAGCGTGTACGTGCACACCCTGGTGTGTGTGTGTGTGTGTGTGTGTGTGTGTGTGTGTGTGTATGTGTGTGTGTGCACGTGCACGTGTATACTTATGTGCAAGTGGAGGCCAGAGGTCCACCTTGGGTGGCTTTCTTGATCATTTCCCCTCTTATTTTTTGAGCCAGTCTCGCACTGAACCTGAGCTTCCAGTTTGGTCAGAGAAGCAGGCTGACTAGAGCTGCCTGTCTCCTGATGGTATTACAACAGCTTTTATGTGGGTTCTGTGGGGGGAGGCGGCTGCAGAAAGGGTCCTCCCGCTTGAGCAGCCCCTCCTCCCCTCTGAGACAGGGTCCCACTATCTAGCTCTTCCTGACCCAGAACTCTTCATGCAGAACAAGTTGACCTGGAACTCACAGAGATCTGTCTGACTCTGGAGGGTCCTAAAAAAAAATCTCATGAGCATAGGCTTAGGATATGAGTCAACGAGAGCCATGTGTCTGACAAGAAAGCTCTCTTTATTTCTTCCCTGCACGGATCCTGGAGACACTGCAATACAAGGTCAGTGGGTGGAGTGGGTGGAGTAAGCTTCCATCCCAACTCCCAGCTCCAAAAACCCATTTAATAGATTGTCCTCGGATAGAGGACGTATCAGTTATTAAACTGATAAGAACAGATGCTACACTTGATCTTAGCCAAAAGGCCGAGAAGCATCGTTTCTTTCCGAGGCAGATCTCATGTAGGCGTCCTTGGCATTGGAAGGATGATCCTGACCTCTAAATCCTTCTCCCTACACCTCTTAAGCTCTTAGGTCACAGACATACATGACACCCACCCCCTGCCACCCCCAGGTTACTAATTGTGTGATGAATGGCCAGAAGCTTGTCCTAAGTGAATATATGCATGTGAGGAGATGCAATTATTTTATTTAGAATCTGAGTTGTAGTAATGTTTTTTCCTCAACAACAGCAACAAAAAAAAACAAAAAATACCCAAAACAACAACAACAACAACAACAAAAAACCCCAACCAACACAAACCTTTAAGGGCTGGGAACGTGAGCACACTACTAGAGCATTGACCCTGAATCATTGAGGTCCCTAGGAGCCATCCTCCAAACAAACACCGTCTCAAAACTCAACACTGGTGTTTGGCACAAGCACTCTATTTTCAGAGCCTTGAGAAGAGGCTGCCAGCGTTACACGGTCAGGCTGTCTTAAAGACAAGCTGGTTTGCCTGACATTTCTAGTTCATCTCCCGTAGATGGGAGGGGCCTTCGGGTCATTCCATCATCTAGCTCGTTTTCTCATTCACAGATGAGTAAACAGAGGTCCAGAAAGCGTGCTGGGATTTTCCTAAATGGCTGGGAAACACAGATACGTGTTCTCTTCATTGTGCTTTACCACCAGATACCGAAAAAAGGGGGGAGGGAGAAGCCCTCAATTATTCTGGGCTCTGAAGCTGCTTTTTCAGCTAAAATCAAGAGCAGCTCTGCCCAGCTGATAAACCCTGGCAAGCCCACTGGACCCTACAAACCCACTGGACACACAGACAGCCCCAGATGACCTCGATGGGACACTAAAGGAAACCAAACGGGAAAGAGGTCTGTAGAAGGGGGGAGGGGTAGCTGGCAGAGGTGAGGCTGGGGATAAGAGAGAGCCCACAGGAGAGCAACCAGGTACGTACACGCATACAAAATTGTCAAAGAACAAGCTTTACTAATAAACAAAAAGAGTTAACTAAGCCAAGTTCCCAATCCTAGCTCCCAGAAGATGCAGTGGTTCAGAAAAGAGAGAAAGTAGACCTTCCAAAGTCCGTGTCTGTTGAGAGTCTGAAATCCTATCGTCAGAAACCACTGGATGGCTCTCCGAGGCAACAGCAGAGCCAGGGAAACATGAAAATGGACAAAAACCTACCACAGTAAGTAGGGCTTGGCCTCAGCCATTGGCTTAGCCAACTGTGAGGACTAGGTATTCTCTCTCAGATTTTGGTTCTCTGGGCTGAAACGGAGACTCATTACTTGGACTTCCTTGGTCTCATCCCATGCTCCTCCCACATCAGCTTCGGCCATTTCTAGTCTAAACAGTCCTCCACCTAAGATTCCCTTGTAGAGACGGATAACCCTGGCTTTCTTCTGAATTCATCAGTGTCTACTCACACAAGCAAGGTCCAAAGATACACAGGTAATGCCTTGGCATCCTGACTGATCCTCTGGGCATAGCCTGTCTGTGGAAGTCACCACATGCCCCCTTGACATGTCTCCTCAAGGGGAGGTAAAATGCGTAGAGAGGGGAAGCTCCCTAAACTGAAACACACGAACTTCAGTCTGACATGATTTAGGAATGGGTTCACTGACAGACAGATCTATCTATCTATCTGTCTGTCTGTCTGTCTATCTATCTATCTCCCTCCTTCCCTCCCTCCCTCCCTCCATCCCTCCCTTCCTTTTTTAAGATAGGTCTCTCATATAGCCCAGGCTGGCCCCAAACTTACTATATGGTGAGGATAGTCTTAAACTCCTGATCCTTTACCTCCCTAGTGCTAGGGATGTAGGAATAATCCACCAGACCCTTAGATTACATCTCATTCATTGATCACCACACGCTTTTCTTTTGGAGACAGTCTCTCTCTATGGCCCTGGCTAGCCTGGAACTCACTATGTGGACCAGGATGGTCTCACACTCACAGAGATCTACCCATCTCTGTCTTGTGAGTGCTGGGCTTAAAGACATGTGCTACAATTTATTCTTGAAGCGACTAAAAGCATGCATGCAAAAGATATCCAACTAGTAACAACAAAATAGATAGGCAGAAATACCAACTTCAGTAATTTCAAAGTCTATGGATTCTTTCAACATAGAATTCAACTGAATGCCTACTTATAAAGTGCTACCTATATTAGAATAATCTCAGAGTTAAAAGCAGACAGGCACTTGGGATGCATCAAAGCTACTAAGAAGAATAAATACAAGAAGACTAAAGTCAGACTTCTGAAGCAGCAAGCAGTTTTACAAAGAGATATTGACAAATGTTATTAGTGCCGAGGAAGATTTTTGTTCACGTGATAACTATTTTTGCTCAATACCGCCAGCTTCCAATTTAATAATAAAACTGACACATTCACCTAAGCTGCTCGCAACTCCAGATCTATTTTAAATACTGTGGTCACGAGTGTGCAAACATCTGGGCAATCATGAAATAGCCCCACCATTTGCAAGTCCCCAACACTTAAGTGGACGTAACTGTCTCTTAGTCATCTCGGTCTGCAGTGGCTTTTGACAATGTGAAAACCAGCGACATAAAAGCTAACTCCAGTAAGACAAGCGATCAAGTCAAATTGAGTTATTTAAGTCCACGTTTTTCTCCAACCACTTTCTGTTAAAGCGAGCTCTCAATCAAATTCAAGAAAATATGGCGATATACTTTAGAACATTTTAGAACATTAAAAAAAAAGTTAGAGCATGCTAACAGAACCAACTTGTAACATATCATTACAAAATTTTACCAAGATGCTATCTTGAACATTTTACTGGTGCAAGTTGCATAAATCTATGCAACAGATGTCATTCAGAGGGAAGAGGAAGGAACAGCATCTTTAACACCAACTCCATTTAAGAAACAATACCAAATGTTCCCCTGCTTTGTAGCTAAGACTCCTCAGATAATATTTTTAATTCTGTATACTAGAGCCATCAAAACGAACCGACCACAACAAATAAGAACACAGTGGAAACCCGTTTTAACAGACAGCGCTAGGAAAGGCAAGTGCGGTAAACATCCCCATGTTATCTCAGTCGAGTTATCTGCTGGCAGCAGCAAGAAAGGGCCGTGCATCCTTACCAATGAATTTCTGAGGCATCGAGCTTTTCCGTTTTGCCACATTGCTTGCTAATCTGTCCAGAACGAGCGCTCTTTCACTTCCCATCTCCGCTTTGATGTGTCTTGCCTCCACACTTGCTGGTTTGGAAGAAGAGGGAGAGGAATACATTGGTACATGGGGAGAATGGGGAAGGGGAACCAGCTGGAAGAAGCTTCCCTGTGCCGGGTTGGGGGGCTGATGCCCGGGGCTGTCATTACCTGTGGGTCCTGCTCGGTTTCCTGCCCTGGGTACCTGCTGTGGTCAGTGAGACCAATTCTGGGGCACATTCAAATCTTGCAGTCTTATGCTGAGATGGGAAAGCCCGACCCATCCCCAGCTAGTACCTTCATTAGCAAGAGGAAGTATTGAAGAAATAGCTTGGACGTGGTTGGTTGCAAAAAGATAGATAGATGGAGGCCCTTTCACCCTCGGCAGCTCCTTTCTGATTCTGAGTAACTGCATGTGACACCTGCACACTGATATAATTCTTCTTAACAACTTTGAAAAAAAAAAGTCACAGTGCCCCAGATTCACCGCTCTGCCTATGTTAATAGACTTTTGAAAATAGATACACTCGCCCAGATAGCAAGAAATCTACCCAGTGATTTGGGTATTGAAATACTGAGTCATTTTTTTTCTTCACTACGTTTCTCTCAGTTTTTATCTTTCAAATTCCGTTTCTCTGGGTTCCGTGTGTTGCTTCATAGGTTCTCCACATCTCAAAATTGTTTCCATTACCGTGTCCCTGAGCCACACTGCTGTCTGAAAATTAAAGAGCTATCTATATACTGCATTTCTATTGTATTTCTAATGAAAAAAATGACAATAACTGCCCGAGAATGTGGATTGGTTATGAACCCACAGATAGACATCTGAGTGGCATGGGCTGGAGTTTTCAGACCTGGCTGCAAATTACTCCAACCCAAATGCCTGGCACACACTTAGATATCCACAGGCAGGTTCCCGCTCACTGGGACAGGACAAGCGTGCTTTCCAAGTTCCCCGGATGATTTTAAAGGCAGCCACAACAGGACGACGAGGCTCATGCCTACAGTCCCAGTCCTTGGGAGACCGAGGCAGGAGGATGGCTATGAGTTTGAGACTAGCCTGGGCTGCACAGTGAGCTGCAGGCCATCCTAGGCTACCATGTGACACTGGGGAGGGGGAGCAATCAGAATTTCAGTGCACTAGATGAATATAAAAATAATGCCAATACACTTAAATAGTAAAGTGGAACAAATATAATTTTCTTTGGAACAGCCAGCAGTAACCAACGAGACACCACGTCTAAAGAGTGAAAACTCACTAGCTGCTATAAATAGAAGGCCTAAAACTTCATAATGCTGGAATCAAGGACTGGTAAATAATTTCTGTAAAAAGACCAAAGAGTAAACACTGTGTAGGATCATTTGCAATCATTATTATTTTTGAGGCAGGGTCTTTCTGTTTCACAGCTCCCAGGCTAGCCTCAAACCTCAAGTCCTGGGATTACACACCTGCACTACTACATTCATGTCGGTGGCAAGTATTTTTAAATCTTTGGGATGCACAGTCCCTTTCTATATTAGTGTTCTCTGCTCCACATCTCTGTTAAAATGTAAAAACTGGACCAGAGAGATGTCTCAGCCTGTGACATGCTTGCTATATAAGCACGAGAACCTGAATTTGGATCCCCAGGACCCACCTAAAGAGCCCAAGCCTGTAGTCCCAGCACTGGGGAAGCAGGGACAGCAGGAAACCCAGAGGCTCACTAGCCAGGCATTCTAGCTTTTAATGGGCAAGGCCTAGGCTCAATGAGAGACTGTTTCAGGAAATAAGGTGGACAGTGATTGAGTAGACATTCAAAATCGACTTCTGGCCTCCAGGCACACCTAGACACACACAAACGTGGACACATCCACAGACCACACATGCACAATAAATAAGTAAACAGTAAAAACCCAGTATACAAGCAGACTGATGGCTACACTTGACCCCAGGGCCACGGTGTATCCACCCCTAACCAAGAAAACATATTGTGACATTATATCTCTGTTTTGTATGAGCACTTCAGAAAGTCTAAACTGGAAAGTCATACATTTCTAATGTATCTACTAAGGAAGAAGAAAATGTAATTTTTAAAAGGGACTAGAGTTAAAAAGGTAAAATTGATATCTACAGAATGAGATATTCCCTAGCTCAGTGCCCACACATGTTTGGGAACTGTCTGCACTTGTCCGGTAGTTGAGGAGTCTGAGGTATTTGCCATGTGAAGATTCCAATATACAGAATCAGCACACATGTCCAGAGAAAAAGGACACTGGCTACCTTTGCAGGGAATGAATGACCCGGAAAGACCTCCAGGGCCAGAGAGGCTGGACTGGAGAGGGCCACTGCCAGATTAGAAAATGATCATTTCAAGTATTAATTATTTTCCACTTTCTTCCCGTCACCAGAAGAACTCTGTTTCGAGTGTTACACAATGCAGAGCTTTGTGTGGTTTTTAAAAATCAGTCATAAAGGAAACCTGTCTCCAAAAGTGAAAAAATAAGTATTATGGCAACGCCACATCATTTGACGTGGGCTCTTGTCAACAATAATTCTGGGCTCTGAAGAAACACATCCCTAGTTCTGCTCCAGCTGTCAACACCGATTTACGTAAATGAAAAGATTATGCTCAGGACCAGGGGCCTAAGCTGCTTTCAGACTTGGTAAAGTCCTTGGAATTAGCACTTGGTGACAGGACCCTGCTCTGGAGTGAAGTGGGTCAAATTCTGCTCAGTCCAGAGACAGGTTACAATGACCAAACAGGAAATGATCATACGTATTATTTCCTTGCACACAAACCACCGCCAGATGTGGCACTAGCCAAAGTCCCTGAGCAGAGAGATGAAAGACCGCCTGGAATTTGAAGTCGGTTTCCAATACAAGGGATTACTGGTTTTTTGTTTGTTTGTTTGTTTTTTAAATGTTCCTTTTTCTTAGAAGTAGGGTAAAGGTAGCCGTGTGTACTCTAGGAGCGTATGAGAGGATCAGAGGCACCATGCCTATATCTGTTATTGATTTAGGTCGAAAGGAGAATAACAAATATTTGGGGAATTTTTACTTTGGAGCCCACTTCACCACTGTGTTTGGTTCCTTTTAGTCCTTCCCCTCATGGCCAAATCATGACCTGGGACCTGCCCTAAGCATGACGCCTCAGTTTCCCACTTATGTCTTAGGAGTCATTGCTCGTGTTCCACCAAAGTCACCAGCAGCAGCAGCAGCAGCAGTTTTGTGGGCACACGCAACGACATCCTCTATATTTGGGAGGATGCTGATGCATGGACACATTGACCTAAATAACTAATTAGGGCATGTCACTAAATGGCAGCCTCCTGAGATAACATCACCCTTTTCATTCCTGGTTACCCACCACGCTGGTCTTGGCAGTCATTTCCAGATAACTCTCACCATGTCAACCAGTGGCCAAATGGCTGACATTTAAGAGAGTAACGTTCTGGAGTGTTCATGGGTGAAAAAAGAATCTGAGGTACGAGGGAAGGCTTTCCGTCTTCACAGCTCTGCTTAGAGGGAAAGGCCTTCTGTGGGAAGTAAGAGACCGCTTGCCCACTGCACCCTTCCTAGAGCTGTCCTGCAGAACAGCGACACTCCCAGCCACGGGAGCACACCCCAGGGACTGAGTTCCCCTTCACAGATTTAACCGATTCCCAACCGCGGAGTGATCAAAGGCTAACAGGCAACAAAATAGGGTCCGCTTTCTTTCCTAGACTTTGTGTCTTTTTACCTCTGAACCGTCAGACAGTGGATGGACAAAACCACTGAACAGGCATCTTTTAAACATCAAGTCAGTTGTCAGAGTTAGCTGAGCTTGGGGAAAGCCTTCTGACTTCTGGTCCTCCCTTTGCCTTTAGGACTCAACTGTCCATTCACACAGTCTAGACTTGTTATTGTGCTACAAGGAGTCCCACAAATGTAAGTGGAAGAAAACGAGTTTGGCAAGGTGGCAAGGGAAGAAGATAATGGGTCTAAATGATGCAACAGGAAATCCGTTCCTAGGTGGTGTTTGGCAGTTTAGTGTTGCCAGGGTGGGGGCGGGGGTCTGGGAAGGTGGACATTGATACATTTGGTACCTGAGTGGGCACAAGGGCAGGACTGCAATTCTTGACCCAATTTCCCTCCACATCTTTTGTCTACTATGGAGTAAGTAAGGGTCAATTTTTATTAGCAACAGCTCTTAGAGATGTTAGAAAAATAATAAAATGTCATTGGTAACCACAACTACAAAAATAAATTGCCTTTAATCCCCTGCACAAGCCTTCACTTTTAACTGCTTCCATGATACATTGTTAAACCTTAAAGTAACTGTAGCTTTGACTATGTGTTCGTGTTCTGCTTTTGCAAAATCCTTCATCAGGGCTCAAAGAGTTAAATGGAGCTTAAAGCAGCCATTGCATCCGGTCTCTTCTATGGTGTGGTCAGCAGCTAATGGAGACAGGAACAAAGTGGAGTCATTGTGCAACGAGATTGTCTAACAACAGATTGCTATCAAAGACAAGGCAGGTTCAAACAAAAAAGCTACATGTAACTGTTGCCCTGTGGATCAAGTCAAATGAGACTGTTAGGAATACAGACTTGGTGTTTTTGTTGTTTTTTTTTTAACTCTTAGAAGAAAAAGTGGGCTACATGGTAAAATATGATTTCATCCTGAAACCCTTGTACTTGCATTGGCTCCACTGAAGCAATGAGAAAGAAGAAAAAAATTTAATTCCTAGACTCACAAATAAACATCATCAATCATTCACTTAGGGCTTTTTCTTTCTGACAGGATCTCCCTATGCAGCCCCGGAACTGTCTATGTAGAATCTACCCTGTAGACCAGGCTGACTTTGAACTCACAAGAGATCCCCTGCCTCTGCCTCCCGAGTCCTGGGATTCAAGGTGTGTGTCATCACATCTGGTTTTGGTCACTTACTTTATAAATGCTATTATCAGCGGTAGAGTGCTGGTCTAGAATGTGCAAGGCCCTGGGGTTGAGCTTCATCAATGCCAATAAAATGTCTTATTATTGCTAGAACTCATGGTTATTCACGAAAGGTTTGGCTACGAGTATAAGTTGTGTGAAACGAGGCCACAGTAACATCAAGAAGATGAAGGAGATGAAAGCCATGGTCATCTGCCGTTCCTTCTGGCCATCTGCACACCACTGGGCAGCAGGAATATTGCAACGGCGTCCCTCATGGCATCTGCTGTAGAGACTTGGACTCAACTTGCAATAACTCATATGTCTCCATTATTAGACCAGTGCCTCGATGCGCTGTGTGTTCTTCAGGGGTAGGGGCTTAGCTTTTCCTCATCTTTGCGAACAGGTCATGATACAGAACCGAATCAGCTGTGTCTGAGTAAAAGCAAGGACCAGCAAGACAGAAGTCCTGTCACTGTGCACTGGCGTTCTTTCAGAGGCTGATCTTTTCTCAAAGACCTTTCATCCGTCCCCTTTCAGAGAGGCCTGCTTTCCAGGACAGACAGCTCTGTCCCCTGACCGGCTCTCACACTACACCACAGCTTAACTTACTTTTCTTTCTTTAGAGATGGGTTCTTACTACCCTACCCTCCAACTCAGAATCCTCCTGCCTCAACCTCCTGCTGCCACATCCAGCTGTGCTTGCTGCGTGAGTGCCCCATGCACAGGAGCTCCGAAATAGCGTTTTAGAAGTGACACGCGGAATAGAGATTTAGGATGTCCTGCCCTGGGGCTGGAACTAAGTATAGCTGCTTGAGCATCTAGTCTGCACGAAGTCCTGGGTTCTATTCCCAGCACCACATCAAACTGGGCATTGGAGGCACATGCTCGCTGTCCCACTGCAGAGAGAGGTGGAGGTAGAAATCAGAAGTTCAAGTCTAGGGGGGAAATTACTGCGTTGGTCAGGTTTGGAATAGAACACTGTATCCATCCATACTGGACTCTTAGTTACAGGAAGGACACAGACATGGAAACCACAGAAGGAATGGTGCCCGTGAAGGAGAGGCCCGAGCTAAAACAAAAGGCCTTTACATTTGGATCCTGGAAAAAATGTATAGGAATAAAAAGCCCAAGAGACCCAAAATATAGTACAGTGTGTGGTATTTATACTTGATTGAGCTGTGACTTTACCCATTTTGTAACCTAAAACCACTACTATGGCATACTTGTCAGAAAGAAAGAAAGAAAGAAAGAAAGAAAGAAAGAAAGAAAGAAAGAAAGAAAGAAAAGAAATCAAAGCCAGGCATGGTGGCGTACATAGCAGAAGGTTCAGGTCAGTCAGAGCTACATAGAGAGGCCCTATCTTGGAAAAAAAGAAAAGAAAAAAAAAAAAGCAATCAAATTTGCTGACTTGGTTAACCCTTGACTTTTTGCTGAGACTTGAATTCTGTGGCACGTATCCATCAAACAGCCCTATGGATGCAAATTAGCTTCGTCGGCAGCTCAGTGCCTCCTGCCCCAGCACTCTGAGCAGCCTAAAACTTCTTCTGGTAACTTTGTAAACTTCAAATTCCTAAAATGGCATGGGGGTGTGAAGTCAAAGTTACTTCAAAAATCATCATTTTATTATTGCCTATGGGGTAGAATTGCTGATTCCCTTATTCCCATTCCAGGAGACTCAAGACACCACACACACATACACACATACACACACACCCCCCACACACACCACATACACACACATACATGCACAAACACAACACCCATATCACACACCCACACACATACACCATACATACCACAATGCACACACAGTACACACACACTCACATCACATATATACACCCCACACCCCCACACCACACACACCACACAATACACCACAAACACACACACCACATACACATACACACACACAAACACCACACACACACCACATACACACCCCCCCACATATACCACACACACACCCCACACACCCAAACACATACACCACACACACACCACACATGCACACACAGCACACACACACACACTCACACACTCACAACACATATACACACCCCACACCCCCACACCACACACATACCACACACGCACACATCAAACATACCACATACACACACACCACACACACACGTGTGTCTCTTCAGTATATGTTGTTATATTTCTTTTGCTGTCCAGATAATATATGACTATTAAAAATAAAGTTTATTATTTCCCAAGATGGAAAGTAAATCCCCTACCAATGAACCAATGTCTGCGAAAGCACACTCTGGTCAGTCCATATGTGAACTGTTATTCAGCTGTAGAAAAGAAAGAAGCAGGAGAACATGTTTCAACATGGCTGAAACCAAAAGCCTTACGTCTGCTAGAAGAGCAGGCTCAAAAGGCTCCCTGTGGTGTGACTGCACTTATGTGACTTTATCTGGTACAGGGAAATCAGCAGAGACCCGAAGTAGGGGAGCTGTTGCCAGACATGGGAGGCAGGGAAATGAAGGCTGGTAGGCGGGGCGTCTCTCTTGGGAGTGGCAAATGTTCTGGAATTAGATAAGGATGATGGTTGCCAGCTTTATTTATTTCTTACTTTATTCTTTGTTATTTTTTGAGAAAGAGTCTCTGCCCGTAGCTCTGGCTGTCCTGGAACTCACTCTGTAGACCAGGCTGGCTTCAAATTCAGTGATCTGTCTGCCTCTGCCTCCTATTGCTGAGAGGAAAGGATGTGCCACCACACCTGGCTCTTATAGAATATGGATTGATTTAAAAAAAAATACAGGGAGCAGGAGGAGGAATGGGAGAGAGAACTGTGGTTGGAATGTAAAATGAATTTTAAAAAATATATGTGGGGCTGGAGAGATGGCTCAGTGGTTAAGAGCACTGACTGCTCTTGCAGAGGACCCGGGTTCAATTCCCAGCACCCACATGGCAGCTCACAACTGTCTGAAGATCCAGTTTCAGGGGATCTGACACCTTCACACCAATGCACATAAAATAAAGTTAAATAAACCATAAAAAATATTTTAAAAAAATATATGTGGTTTAAAAAAATAATAAAAAATACTCCAGACAAATGCATGTGTGCACATGTACACGTGTGCTTGCGTGCATACACAAACTCAACCAAACAAGCAAACTAAAGCGCTAGCCATTTTTAAGTTAGTCACGGGATTTTGACAAGTCTTTGTTTTCCCACCTCCAAAGGGAGAAGGTAGGAATAGATGTTTCTTTTATGGGCAAACACTAACTCACAACTCAGCATGCCCCTTAAGATAGCGAACACCAAGCCGTCCTTGTTTTTCTTAAGGTAGCAAGTGGCATTCTTTAGAAACAAGGAGGAATAAGAACCCTTGATAAAACTCAAGATGCCATCAGGATAAAAGGTAGAAGCAAGCAAAGACCCACAGGCTTCGGTTGGCCAGCCCCTAAACCAGGAAACGGCCTTGATCTAAAGCCCAAGTTTCTTTCCACTCCATGGGGTGAACACTCAGGATTTCCACTCTGCTTTTCGTAATGCTCACACTGCACTGTCGCCCTCCGTAATCATCTGCTTTAGACTGCTCAAAATGTCCCAGCGCAGCTACTGCAGCCAAAGACCAATGCCCACGAGGATGCCTCCCATTCTCCATAAGGACTTGGCTCTAGGAACCAAGTCCCCACCCCAAGCTGAAGAACCAGGTTAAGGGTCAAACGGGTTGAACGAAGGATGATTGTCAGAGACGTCATTCGAGAGAAGCTTTAGGCTGACTCAATGAAAGGATGAGAAAGAAATAAGACCACACTGGACACGGAGGAGGACACACACGGTGTTAAAATCTGGGGTCAGAAGCTATACAGTTCAAATCCTGGGGCAAACCCCTCGAAGCCAAGTACAAACGTCACAGCAAGTCACATGGGCAGACCAGGACATCACCACTGGGCCCTGTGCAAAGAAAATCCTTGAGTGTGTTCCTGATTCTTCCCTAACCATTCCCCAGCCTGCATCACCCTTTGAGATCACCATTCCACCATAGCCAGGAAAGCCTGCTGGCTCTGCCTTTGAATCAGAACGCCCTAACTCCCACCACTGCCAAGACACAGTTCCCTTTGGAGTGAATTCTTGCCACAGACTCCCAACTGGATTCCCCAAGATCTATCTAGCTTGTCCGAAAGGCAATCTATTCTCAGGAACAAAGCAGGGTGGTGGCTTTCAAATGAGAAGTCCGATGATGTCACCTGTCTGGGCTCAAAGATTTTCAGTTTTGCTCAAAAGTCTTTACGATGGCCTCCGAGGCCTGATAAGATCTAGTTTCCTCTTTCCCCTCTGGCTTCACATCCCCTTGCTCACTCTGTTCCTGGTACATGGGGCTATATTTACATTCCTTCGCACGTACTGATCACCAGTGCTCCGTGGGGCTCACTACCACGCCTTCGAGTCCATCAGAACATCACCTGGTGGACATCTTCCCGATGTCACCCTTACCCTGCACTTCCTGCTCTGTTTCTCTCCAGGGCACTCCCCATCTCTCCTTGCTCATCTCTCTGTCTATATAAAACCTGCTCCACCACCTAGGGGGGCAAGTGCTCACTGACAAGTGGGGGGAACAGGCCCTGTGGAACTTACTGGCATCCCCCAGGTCGGAATTCTGGAGAAACGTGCGGCACCGCTCCTTGTGTTCCTCCAGGGAGCTTCTCTGCTTGTAGCTCCGTCCGCAGAATTCACACTTGTAGGGTTTCTCCACTGGAAAGAAGACACAGAGCACTCAGGGACCCCACACACCGAGACCCCGGCTCTGAGAAGACACTGGTCTCTAGGGATGAGGCTGCTGGCCCAGCCAGACCCACGCCTCCAAGTCTGTGTCGCTGTCAAATCCGCTAAGCTGAAACAGGACTACGGTCTAGGAGGGGCTCTTCCGCCAGTGTATTTAAAGGAGGGCGTCCTGTCGCAGATGGACGGGTCTGCAGTGGGTGACTGCTGCTTTACTTCGTGTTTGGCTCTGGGTTAAACCTTGTTTCTTTTCTGTTAACCAAAGCAGGTCCCAGGACTAGAGAGATGGCTCGGCACTGAAGGGTACTGGTTGCTCTTTCAGAGGACTGAGCTTTGGTTCCTACACCCAAATGGGGTGGTTCAGACTGGCTGTAACTCCAGTTCTAGGGAATCTAGAGTTAGAAAGAAGGCTGAGAGAGAGAGAAGAGAGAGAAAGAGAGACAGAGACACACACAGAGAGATAAGCAGAGGTAGATAGATAGATAGATAGATAGACAGACAGACAGACAGACAGACAGACAAGAATCCTTTATTCTTCAAGGAGGGTAGTGTGGGGTAAGAGTGAAATGGGTCCAGGTGTGGTGGCACACACCTTTAATCCCAACATAGACAGGAGGCTCTTTGTGAATTTGAGACCAGGCTGATGTATATGGTGAAACCCTATTTAAAAACCAAAACAAAGTCAATTATTTGGGACCTGGAACAATGGTTCAGCAGTTGAGATCACTTAACTACTGGGGCTGGAGAGGTCACCTGATGGTTAGAGCACTCTGCTCTTGCAGAGGATCTGGGCTTGGTTCCCAGCACCCACAGGGCAGCTCGCCACCATCCATACTGAATCTAATTCCAGGGGACCTGATGCCCTCCTTTGACTTCCTTGGACCAATGTATGCAAGGGAAAACGCTCATTCACTAAAATTAATGGGAATGGGAGGGCATCCTTCCTACTCTGTGCTGTCCATCTAACTGTAGGTAAGAAATAAGGTGGTCCGTGGACATTGGGGTCGGGCTAGACATGTTTGAAGTGTGTGGGCCGTTCCTGTAAAGTGGCTTTAAACAAGCGTGGTCAAAGACAGGGCTTATTAACAAAGAACATTTTTAATAATAGAATTAAGAATGAATTGCAGTAACCAGGTCTAACTGCACATGCATTTAGTCCCAGCACTCTGGAGGCAGAGGCAGGGGGATCGCTGAGAGTTCGAAGCCTGCCTGGTCTACAGAGTGAGTTCCAAGACACCCAGGGCTACATAGTGAGACCCTGTCTGGAAAGAACAAATGATCAAAAAGAATGAATTGCAAAAATGACTTCAACTTATCTTCTAAACAAATCAAAAGTAGTTTTCCTCATAAGTTGCCCGTATCTTTTGATAAAACTCAACCTAAAAAGTGTGAGCCCTCTTAAAAAAAAAAAAAAACCAACAATGTTTTATTTTCCAATTCCTCATGCTTTGGGAATAGAAGCACACTCAGAAGATCCTTATAAAACCCCAGACTAAAATAAATCACAGGCTTGCAAAGGCTAAACTTTTTTTTTTTTAATTTCTGTATAACTTGGGTGCTCTGGCATCTATCTCAAAAGACTTATCAGCACTAAGTTTGAAAAGGGCAGGAGAGAATCTTCTTTTTCTTTCTTTCCATCAAACTCATCACTATTTTGTTACATCAACAAATGAGAAAGAGAGAGAGAGAGAGAGAGAGAGAGAGAAAACCCCTCTTTGCCACATGTGATCTCTCATGGGTTTTGCTGAGGTCGGCTTGTTTGACCTTACTCTGAATTGTGAGTAGTTCTGAGACTGGGCTTTAGTCAAAGCAGTAATGTGGACTGACATAAAAACAAACCCATCTCTCTCTCTCTCTTCTTAAATTAAAAAAATTGCCAGATAACATCAAGAACATGAGGTTCCAATTTTGAAAATAAGATTCGCCTTATTTTTCTAAGAGGGAAATTCTAAATGTTAAAAAAAAAAGTGTCACCTTGCTTGTTCAAAATAAGGATTGAAAAGACCGAGGCAGCAGGTGGCTTTTTAAGAATTCTTGTTGTTGCTCTTAGGGCTTAAAAATAAGTGGGGTGAAGAAGGGGAAAGCTGGGGTTAGGAAACTTAGCAAGAAGCTGGGTAAAGTGTTACACGCCTGCAATTATAGCACACAGGAAAGGCAGGAAGGCGGCTACAACTGTGAGGCTACCCTGGTACACACAGTGAATTCCAGTTCAATCAGGACTGCAAAGTAGGGACCCATCTCAAAAACTAAAATAAAAACAAAACAATAACACCAAAACCAAACAAACAAAAAATGAATAAGAAATTTATCCCAAAACAACCAAAAGGAACCTCAAATAAAAATTTATGTCTGATTTACATTTTTATTATTTTAAACTATGTGATATTGTACATATGGCGACCAGCAGCATCCGGTCTCCTGGAGATGGAGTTGGTGTTGGCTGTGAGGCAATGGATGTGGGTGCCAACAATGAAACCCTTATCTCCTGGAAGAACAATACTTGCTCTCCACCGCCGAGCCACCTCTTCAGGCCCCTGCTTTACACTTTTTAATAATTTACAAACTAAACATAATTTGCTGGTGTCGTTTCGTGAATGGAAAGCTGGAAAAGGGTGTGTACATATTAAGAAATAAAATTTACCATAAAAATATTGATGGCCACGATTTTTTTCTCACAAGAATTACGAAGGCACAAGGATGCCGGAGACGGTTTCCACCGAGGCAGACGGAGAGCAATTAATACCTCAACGGAAGGGCAGTTAGCCCTAGAGGTCTCTGCGGACAGAACCCTTCAGAGGGCGAGCGGCAGACTGAAGCCACCACGCTTAACTCTCTCTTGTTTCCACAGCCACTGGATGTGGAACGCTTGTGCCCCTCACTTACCAGAGTGTGTCCTAAGGTGTCCCGTGAGCGCGTCTCTTCTTTGGCATGCGTAGTTGCAGAGGTGACACTTGAAAGGCTTTTCCCCTGTGTGTAGCTTAATGTGACGGAGGAGGTTGCCTTTCTGAGTAAAAGATGCCCCGCACTGATTACACTGGAACGGACGTTCACCTTCAGGGAGGACGGAAAAGAAGAACTCTCATCACAAGGCTAGGGGAAAAGCACGTGCCCAGATTAGACGCCCACGGCCAAAGTCCATCTCTTGGGCGGTTCTGCCCTTGCTGAGAGGTCACTTGGGAACTACATTCTGAGGGGCAGAGACTTGTGGGATCCTCTTCCTTGCAGAACGAACACTCCCACTCAGTACAGCTAGTCTGGTGATCTTGCTCTGAGTCACGGCCAAGGGACCCAAGCAGCCTTGGGAGCTGCCTACAGGTTTTTCTACTTCTTGGCATCTGAACGCAGTCGCCTTTGAAGGAGGACTCAGAGAGTCAAGCTTTCTTGTATTTTTGAGACAGGACCTCACTATGTAGCCCTAACCTGGAACTCGCTCTGTAGACCAGGTTGGCTCCAAACTCACAGAGATCCTCCTGCCTCTGCCTCCTGAGTGCTGGGACTAAGGTCGTTGTTTTGTTTGGTGGTTTTAATCTTTTCTTTTTGACAGGGCCGTTCCTCTGTACCCAAGGATGGCATGGAACTCATGATGGTCTTCCTGTTTCAGTCTCCTGAGTGCACTTAGATGCAAGATGTAAGATGTCAAGGCCCAGCCTTTCACCCTGGAGTCCCTGCACCAGATGAGGGCTAGACTCAGTGTGACTCGTTCCTAGGCCTTCCTAGGACTCCTTGTTTACTGCATGAAGATGTATTTAAAACCGACAATAAAACCCATATCATTTTATCCATTAGATCTGAACCCACAGAAAGGGCACCCGCTTTCATGGATGTGCCTTGTCAAAACACTTGGAAGATTTTTCCAACTCCTGCTTACTGACTGAAGGAAGGCTATTCGGCTAACCTTGGTGGCTATTTTCATTGGTCAGTCTCTCTCTCTCTCTCTCTCTCTCTCTCTCTCTCTGGCCCCCCCCCCCCCCCCCCCAGGTCTCACTTTGCAGCATTGAGTGCCCTGGAACTCAGACGTAGACCAGGCTGGCCTTGAACTCAGAGATCCACCTGCCTCTGCCTCCCCAGTGCTGGGCGTCAAGGCGTGCGCCACCCCATCAGGCCTTTGTTAGTCTCTTTTCATTTGTAGTATTTTCTGTGTGTTTGCCAAATGCATGGTGAAGCAGAAACTAGAGTGTCTGGGTAAAACGGCAATGCAAAGGGTGAGAGAAACAGCAACACTATAGCAGAAAGTACCGGAGGAAGCCAAAGTAAGACCCAAACACCGCCGCTTCGTCCCTCCCATGGCCACACACGGACAGTTCTGAGAACTGAGAGAGGAGACTATTTACCAGTATGGCTTCGCTTATGAACCATCAGGACATTGAAGCTGATGCAGGACAATCCGCACACATCGCAGTTCATCTTCCCACTGCTCGGCCTGCCACCGTCGTACGGAGCGTGCTTAATGTTTTCATATTCATTATACTCTCTCACATAGCCGTAAGGAATCTCGCTCTCTTCTGCATTTCCCAGGGGCTCCGGCTTCAAAATGCTCTCATCTCTTTCGCTGTATTCATCTTTCACTTTCATGGCGTCTTCTGCAGGGGACAGGAATGCGAGAAATGAACAATGACTGTATTCGAAGCTGTGAAGCCGCTCAGAAGAGAGGCCCACAGTTGGATAAATACGGAGGAAGCTCACGAAACACTGTGTACATACAAAGCAAGAGAGTTGCCAGAGGTGATCACTCATTATTAGAATTCAGAACCACAGTTAGACACACACACACACACACACACACACACACGCACGCACTCATGCACGCACACACATACACATACACACAAGTACGCACGGCAGTGTCCTAGGCCATCCAGAAGATGAGAGGTAACAAGTTTTAGCTGTGATTATCCAAAGAGACCGTGAAATAAACGTTTTGAACAGCCTGTCCCTGGTCCTTGGAGAGAAGGAAGTCTCAGATCTTTCTTGGTGGCTGCAGCTAAAAAGACAATGGGACTAACTCTTTGGTTTTGAGACGAAAACATCATTTTGATGCTACGAAGGCCTCCGGGTAGCCCACCAAGATTGAGAGCGGGAGAGTAAAAGCCATGTTTTGCCATTCCTTCCTGGAGAACAGAGGGGAAAACTCTTATTCTGTCTTGGAAGTGGCAGAGCCAGCGCTGCAAGCAGAGGAAGTGCTAGTGTTAGTGAACAGAGCTGGACAAAAGGATGCTTTCCTTCGATCTGAGGTTAGTTCTACCTTCTATTGATCAGGATCAGCTGAGTTCAAACCAGTTAGGGGAAGAGATAGCTAGACCTAATCTAAATAGGACTAAGCTCAAGATCCTAGATCAGTTAATTGAGAAGAGGGACTGATCCAAGTATGTTGGATGACTAAGTATTTTTTATGTGTGTGGCGGGGGGTGGGGGGCGAGTGTTTCTAGACAAGGTTTCTCTGTGTAGCCCTGGCTGTCCTGGAACTTATTCTGTAGATCAGGCTGGCTTGAACTCACAGAGATCCACCTGTCTCTGCCTCCCAAGTGCTAGGATTAAAGACGTGTGCCACCACGGCCTGGCCTAAGTACCATTCTTTAAATGGTTGCTGCACTGTTGGGCTTTTTTTTTTTTTTTTTTCTCTTTTCAGGTGGGTACAGTCAGAGGGCTGGAACTCAGAATCTAGGCCAGCATTTCTTCCCAAAGACCTCTCCAGATATTCTACATTTGTGTGTGTGCATGCATGTGTGTAGGTCAAAGTCAACTCAGATGTCACTTCTCAAGAGCTGTTACCTTGATTTTTTACTCTCTCTCTCTCTCTCTCTCTCTCTCTCTCTCTCTCTCTTTCTCTCTCTCTCTCTGCTGGACCTGAGGTTCTGCGATCAGGCTAGGCTGACTAGCCAGCTAGTGAGCACCAGAATCCTCTTGTCTTCACCCCCTCAGTGCCGGGTTACAGGTGCCCGTCACACCTGCCATTTCATTTGGGGGCTGGAGATTAAGCTCAGGCCTTCCTGAGTGAGGCAAACACACATGTATGGTAAACTGAGGCACTGCCTAAGCCCTCTACAAGTCTTTTAAGAATAACATAAGACCCAGAAGGCACGCGGGATGCGGTAGCATACAGCTTTGGTGCCAGCACTTGGAGTGCTGGGGCAGGCAGGTCTCTCTTGAGTCTGAGGTCAGTGTAGCCTACACAGTGAGTTCCAGGTCAGCCTGGCCCCCACCTCAAGGGAAAAAGCCCTGAAAAATTTGCTTCATGGGACCAGCTTTTGTAAGAGATTTACATATATAAAGTATGCTATGCACAGTGCTTATTCTTTCAAACACCGAGTTTTTAGAAACTGGAAGCTTTACTTTTCCACAAAGAAACACGAGCCAATGGAATTGAGAATGAAAGAGAATTTAGAGATCAATTTCTCCAAGTTTCTTCTTTCTCAGATGGGAAATGTGGAAGCAGAGACACATTCAGCCATTTTCCCGATTTTGCACGGCCAGTTCCTGGCAGAGGTGTGCTAGCGCCGGAGGGATGATTCAGCAGCTAAGAGCCCTGGCTGCTCTCACAGAGGACCTGGGTTGGTACCCAGCACCACACGGTGGCTCACAACTTCCCAAAACCCCAGTTCCAGAGGATCTGATGCCCTGTTTTAGCTTCCACAGGAACATGGGAGGCCACAAACATACTTTCAATCAAAACATTCACACACATAAAATAATTTATTTATTTATTTATATTTTATGTGCACTGGTGTTTTGTCATGGGTGTTGGGTTCCCTGGAACTAGAATTACAGACAGTTGTGAGCTGCCATGTGGGTGCTGGAAATTGAACCCAGATCTTCTGGAAGAGCAGTCAGTGTTCTTAACCACCAAGCCATCTCTCCAGCCCAAAATAAAAATTTAAACAGCAACAAAAAAACTAAACTTAAACTATCAGTTAGTTGGCTTGCCCCCACACACTCATATCAAAAAAGGCAAAGTGGCTGTTTAACAAGTCTATTCCACGCCCTTCCTTCGCTGGGGTCGATGTAAAAACCCAAAACACTCTGAAAAAAAAAATGGTATTTTTAAAAGCTACATCCCTTCCAAAACACATCAGACGTGTTGATCCCGCTGTCACAGGAGGAAGTACGAGAGCAGCTGCACGGGCTGCCTTCCACCCCAGTTTCAGTTTTCACTTCTATCAAGGTTACCTTTCATCTATATTAACTGTGCTTAATAGAGCAAGACAAAGCCTCACCCCCCACTGCCAGGGCCACGGCTGCCACTGTTCCACGGCTGCCACTGTCCCATGGCTCACCGCAGGTCACGGTTCACAACCTCCTGACTGCAGCCATTCATGGCTGCAGAGCAAGCGCAACACAGGCCACGTTTGTCACCCTACGAATCTTGTCCTACGGGGAAGAAGTTAATCTCCTCTCTCTCTCTCTCTCTCTCTCTCTCTCTCTCTCTCTTTCTGAATGGATATTTTCTGCTTTCATATGGAATCTGTTTTGTTGTTTTTGGTTTTGCTGTTTTTCACTTTTGAGAGAAGAGTGGCCTGGAGCCGGTGCCCTCCTCTCTGCCTCTGTCGCTCCAGCTGTGGGTGACGTCCCACCAAAGCTTGAGTGCACTTCAGTTTGCATGTAGGCGTTGAAAAGAACCTCAACGGAAAACTTCTTCTACCGAGAACCAAGACCAGTAGATTGAAAGGACCAGCAGAAAGGAATCCTTTTCATTTGGGTTAGAAAACGTGAACAGGCAGGGCAGTGGAGGAGCACGCTTTTAATCCCAGCACTTGGGAGGCAGAGGCAGGCGGATCTCTGAGTTTGAGGCCAGTCTGATCTACAGAGCGAGTTCCAGGACAGCTAAGGCTACACAGAGGAAACCTGCCTTGAAAAAAAAAATAAGCAAAAATGAAGAGGAAAGAAAGAAAGGGAAAATATGAACGTGACTGCACTCGGGCTACTGCACACTCAGTGACTTTAGAAAGTGGTGGGACCCGAGCATGCCCCTTTCTCTAAACAGGGGTCTGGGGACAGCTGCTTCTTTCATTATGGTTTTGGCTGTGGAGGCCAGACCTGGAACTCAGTACCCCAGCCAACCCAGCTCACTATCAGAGCTTGACTTTTCAGTCCTCGGCTGTCGAGCAAGGAAGGCAGTGTTTAAGATGGGGGAGGTCTGGAAAGCCTAGGAGTCACATGGGTGGGGGCGCTGGAGAAGAATATTCGACTGTTCCACCAAAAAAGTTCCTGGTATGGTGGTCTATTCACTAGCTTTAGATAAACAATCTGGGTAATCTTTCTGCATGGTTACTGGGTTCAGCAGCTTTATGGTTTATCTTGGAAAGGCAAACAGAGATGTAAACTCAACTACACAGGAACAAAAGCACGAAGAGGATTCTTGAGAGACTATTAGACTCAGCCCTAGCCTCCAAACGTGGGCCACTGAATCCAAAGCAGGGAAGACACTGGACTCCCCTAATGAAGAGATTCATTCCATATTTTGGGAGGAAGATTTGTAGGAGCCAGAGAAAGGAAGGGATTTTACTAACAGCCCATAGTAACACACATGCCTACTATCAAACTAGCAATCTACGACTCCAAACTGATTTATTCCTAATAGGTGAGCTCTCTTCTTCAGGTCTTCAACCCTGGACACTGGTTTGGAAACGCCTCACTGAGTTGGTCGTTCTGACTTCAGATTCTCTAGGGCAAACTCCTTCCTTCTTCTGTGTTCTTTGTGGTCTATGTTGATCGCATAGACCTAAGCATCACAAGGAACCTAAGCACACTCTCTCTCCCAGACACTTTGTAGTCAGATCAACTCTTACTGCTTTCCTGGAATCCAGCTTCTGCCTCCATATCTCACTGGCTCTGTCCCCTGCAGTAATCTACACACTCAGAAATACGGTGAGTTCGTGTCTGCTGCTCTCCAGAACTCTTGGACACTGGCCACCGCTCCCCGTTCTTCTGTGCGCTTCATTCTTCAATGAACTGAACCTCTTTTCTGATCATTCCCGTCCCCTGTTTCCCTCCTAATTACTGTGGCTGAGCCTCTGTTTTCTTTTCTCTAAGTACTTCTCTATGGCAATTTCATCCATTCCTAAAGGCTCCAACCGACGCCGTCTATGATCAATCCCCAGATGTATACAGCTCCACCTGCGACTCTTGGCTCCTCTTCAATCCTCTTTCCAAGTCTTCTAAAGTCAAACACTTCTTCCCAGTTACTCAAGCTACCAGCCTCACAACCTCCTTTTGTTTCTTTTGTTTGGGCCTCACTTTCAAGGACTCATCAGTTTAGTGCTTACCTAATCTCCACCCACCGCTTCCCACGCCTCTTTATTCCAAGACCCCATCCCTCTCCTGCGATCTGCAGTCTCCATGCTGTTCACCTCTCCAGCTCATCGTGTGTATTATTGGTTGTCCTAAGATTATAGCTCTGGCCATGCCATGGCCCTGCCCAAACCCTTGAATATTCTCCACTGACCACAAAATAAAGTCCAAATGCAGAAACAATACTAAAAGGGCTTTTTGTATCTGGTTCAAGCTTATCTTGAGGACGTTGGTTTTTACTACTCAGACGTCTTTATCCATCTACACATCTAAGTGTCCTTGGTTTGTTCATATT